AAAACAAACACACAAAAAACCCCAAACCCTCAAAACGGAACAAAAAAACACTCATTACTACATCAGAAAGAAAACTGCTCCGTTTAATGCCTCTGCTTGAGGCAGAACCTGGCAGTTGACAGCTGCATTCAACTTGCAGCATCATTTATTTCAGGGTGAGAGGAAGTATGAAAGAGGTTGGACAGAGCTCATGTTTTTGATGTCCTGCTCCTTGGATGAGTCTATTTTCAGGCGTATAAGGTGAATGCAGTTAGATAGTTGAAAGTTCAGTGGGATTCTGTTGTTTGAGATGTGATGCCTGGAAGCTAAAATGCCAGGTCTGGAAGTGCGTGGTATGCACGCTTAGGTTCTGTTAATTTTAATGAAGTGCTGTCATGTTTTCATGTAGGCTACGAGATTGAACCCACATACTTTTAATTATCTACATCAAGGACATTTGTTCTAACTCCAAATCCTGGAGATTTACTTTCTTAACATCCTTTGGTTTGAGTTCACTTTTGATTGGATATAGTATATTAATATCTCCTCAAATAATCTCACACCTCCTGTAAATTGTCGTGAAATTATCATTTGAATAAATGTTTAAGACTGCTAGTAGCCATCTGTTTATCTTGAAAGCAAGTTTGAAGTACTCTTGAACAATCCTATTATTGACTTATTCCTTTTTGTCAAAGGCAGATCTCTTCTCAGGGCCACCTTCTCTCTGTCCCGCCTTGAATCTCCATTAAATAGAAATGGAGAGTCACTTTCTGTTAAGTCAGTTTTTTTCCCCCAAATTTCTGCTCAAGTTTTTTCAATTTTTGAAGCTTCATAAATGAATAAGAGGGACTCAATCCATCAAAACCTCTGAAATGGCTATGTGAGCCCCTGTTCATACCTTCTCCAGGTATTAGTTGGCATTCAGTTGTTAGCCTCTGGCAGCATTTAAATCCTATGTCCTTTAAATGCTTCCTTTCATATAATTTTCTTTTGTGTCCCTTCCTATAAATGAGTCTGGAGTTATAAATGATAGTTTTGGCCTCAACACATGTCCATATTGGAGTATGATGAATTTACAAATACAGTAGGACTGCACAGAGATATACTAATTCGCTATGTATGTACTATGATAATTCACCCGTTGATTTAGATATTGAGCTTTTCTCCCATCTGTTTACCACAAAGTACTATTTCAAGAATATTTTAGATGCTGCCGGAATCAGCATGAATTACTAATGAGCAGTTTGTGGCAGCTCAGTAGATTAGCACGCCATTTACCTTTTAAAAACTATTGGATATCTCGGGAAAAATTAAATTGTAATTCTTCTGAATCATCAGGTGGGAATTACTGCTTCACCTCTGCAGGTATAGCCATGGAATTTACAGCCCAAAGCAGTTTAATCCTCTTAAAATAGTTTCTAACAACATATTGTGTATTATTTTTGAAACATGCCTTTCAAAGCTGCGGAAGATTTGGCATCAGGAAAGCGAATGCTTCTTTGAGACTTCTTTGCTGTTTCAGCAAGAGAATCCAAGGATTGAAAGGAGGTTGAGTCTAAACTCCCATCTTTCATGAGTATTAAATTCATTTGTCTAAAAATATAAAATATATAGAGAGGCCACTGCCAGAGGCAGGATTCCAAAATAGACACGCACGGATTCCGTTCAGCTGACTTTCCTCTGCTTTCCACCCCATGCGATTTTTCTCAGCGCCTCTCTGACCTGTAATACCTGAGCTATTTTAGTCCTAGGTCTGTCAAGAGCACGCTGTCAATTTTTCCAAGTGGTCGTGGCTGTATGATGCTGTCGGACGTTTGTTAGAAACTGAGATGAGGCCATTCGACTAGTTTTTTTCGTGTAACCTGATACTGGGTTTGCACGTGGTCCTTGCAAGGCACAAGGTTCGTGTGCTTAGTTTACCGTGTCAATCCAGGAACCAGTAAACCACAAGGACTTAACAAAAGGGGGCAGAAGCCAGGCATGGACATGAACTTTAAAACTATTAGTACATTAGTTCTGATGCCTCGATTATCAAGAAAAAAGGGATATTTTGAGGAAATCTTAGCAAACTCCATGTCAGGAAGTGTAGTTAATTCCAGGGGATTGTTGGGCGCATTTGTTAATGCCTTTCCTGCTGTGAAATGTGATACAGTAGCTATTTTCTAAGACCTTAATATCAGACCCTATGCAGGAGACAGTTTCCCTGTCACTTTCAAGAATACTCAAAATAAATTGGACAAAAATATCCTCACTAAAAGTTTTTAGAAGGTGAAGAAACACGTTTGGTCCTGTTTAATTGTTTTGCTTTGCTTCATCTTCTCTAGGCCTTTCGTTTATATTTTAACATTAAAACATTTGTTAGAGGATATGTCAGACTTTTAATCATTTAGACAACCCAAAGAGAAGGAAAAAGCCTGCACTGAAAAATGGGAAGTCTGTCTTTACACTTTGTCACACTGGGGCTTCAAAAAAAGGTTTTGTCCCCAGGATCTACCAGTAGTTCCGTTGTGCGTTATGCCATGATTTTAAGTGCCTGTTCTTATATGTGTGTTTTTTGTTATGTTTTGTTTTTTTGTTTTTAACAAACCTCTTGGTATATAGTTACTTCCATAAGTCATCCATTTTAATCCCCCTGAAATCTCAGTTTTGGACAAGCTATTTTCATGAGGAGGATCTGCTACTTCTACCTTTTCGTTCCGTCTCTCTTGATGTAATAGCAGTCTTTCGTCTGAGACCAGCAGCTTCTGTGGTCGAGGTTACCGTTACGTTACAGCATCGCAATGGCAAAGCCAGATTAAGAAATTTGTTTTCTTTTTCTTGCTGCTGCCTGCCTCGTTTTGCCCTCCTGTGGACTGTGATTTATAGCAGATAGGTCCCCTGCGCCTGCTGTGGAAAGTTAGTGGGGAGACTGGGGGATACCTAGGAAACGTTGAGGGCCATGAAGATGAGAGGGCGCTTTTGAGTGTGAGGTTCTCGCTTGAATCTCTGCTGGCTTTGCCAAAGAGAAATCTTGGGCTGAATGCGTATTCTGCTTAGCCTTGTTGAAACAAAAGCAATCTAATTCTGGAAAATGCAGAATTAAATTACGCAAATAGGCTAGGAGAAGCCAAACCGCCCTGTTGCGTGCTGAAGGAAGGAGGGGAAATGCCTGCTTAAAGTTGAGGGTGGGAACTGTGCCATGTGAGAGTAAATATAGTGGGTATTAATCACGGCTCCTTATGCAACTTCTTTTGGAAATAACAGCAACGACCATTAGGTAAAACAAATGGTGTTAAAAGGTGTTTCTCTTTTCAGTGCCCTTGCTGCCAGTTCCAGCCCAGCCAAGACCTGCCGTAGGGCCCCAGAGATTTCCGGTGAGTAGCAGCTGTTTCTCCTTCTCTGATATGGATAAGCATACATTTGCAAAGAAATATTAATATAGCAAATAAAAGCTGCTCTAGTGAAATATAATTTTAAGGATTTGTAAATATTGACAATACACTCTGCAGTTGAAAATGTTTGTTAAAAGCTTAAGGTCAATGGATTTTTGAGGGTAGAATTAATTCTGTCTAACTGTAAAATTGTTGAACCAGTCTCTCCAGTGGGAGAGGTATGAATGCATCTCGTCTTAAAGAACATGGGCTTCATTTTATTACTAGAATCTTCCTGTATAAATAGAATCCTTATTTTATTTGATATAATAAAAGGCTATTTGAAAAAATCCCTCAGATTAAAAAGCTGTATGTATCTTTTATTGTAAAAAATCAGCAGAATTCCATGTTGTCATTACTTCAGGTATTTAAATACCTTCATGTTGTTAATATCAAAAATGGGAGTGGCATTGTATGACCTTGCTTTTTGTATGTCCCTAACTTCCAAAACAAACAAAGCATGTAGCTGTTTCACTAGGGTACTTTCACTTGATTTATTGGTTCTATAAGTGGGGAGAGTGTGCACTTTTAGGCTTCTTCAATATGTCATGAATTTGTTGTCTTAAATTTTTAGTCAGGTGGTTTAGAGTGTCAAAATAAATAAAAGAAGAAAAATTTTTTTGTGCGGTTGCCTTAAGTATTTTCAAAAAAAAAGACCCATGTGTTATTTTCCCCAAAGATATAAAACACATCAAAGTTACCCTCTGTTAATGTTTGCAGTGTTGAAGGAGGGAAGTGGATATTTGCGAACATCTGTATGGAATCACACAATAAATTAGTGTACAGAGATCAGATGTGTTTGAAAGCAGCAGATTTTGGAAACCTGCTGTGACTTTTGATTGCCATGTGCATATCTGATCGTTTCCGATGCAGACTGTTTTGCTTACAAGACATCTAGCTAAGGAACTGTGATGTCCATAATTTGTACAGTAACTGAATGTGTAAGTTACCACCAAGTTTCTTCTGTGAAGTATAAAAATGATAAAATAGTAAAACTACAGTTTCATTAAGTAACTTTATGTTCAGTTTCATCTGCATTTTAACTAGACATATTTTTATACTCAAATTTATTGCAGTTCTTAGAAGAAATAATTTTCTTCCCCAGTCTTTAGTACAAAGTAGAGAAATAATTCTAGTTTTTTTTTAATGAAAACAAATCTTTCGTCTATTTGACATTGAATTCCTTTGCCACTAAACAGTTGGAGATTGAAAAGAAATTGGAGAGCGAGGAATTATCTGTAAATCCGTGGTAATTGACATCTTTGAAGTGTGTTTACATATTGTAGAAAAATCAGAAATTAATTTCTTTAAATAGACTGTGAAATTAGGTTTTAATTTTTAACTATGTTTGAAGTACTTCAACAGTTGCAAAAACAAAAGTGAGCAAAATTAAATCTTGTATGCAACAATTTTTTTTAGATGAATAAAACAGATTCAACATTTTTGGTGGGAATCCTACTCCTCTAGCCTAAAGAAAAATGTTGACTATTTGCTGCCTTTTTATTATAAGCAAGGTCCTGGCAAAAAGTCAATGTAATCCTTTTATTCATAAAGGGGAGGAAGGATATCTTAAAAAAAAAAAAAAAAAAAATCTCAGGACCGGAGACTCTTTTTTTGGCTGTCCTGAGGGTTTTTTCCCACTTCAGCTGGTAACCTGCTATATGACCCTGAGAATGTTACTTAATCTTTCCATGACTCAATGATTTGTAAAATGGGTATAATACAGACTTCCCTAATGAAGTACTTTATCAATTTTGCATAGGTTATCAGTCATATTGGGATTAGGAATTAAGTGTCACTGTGTACATATCTCATGTTTGTTTTATTAGATGTAGGATGTTTAGCTCTTGAGCTGAAGTCAAATTTACTTTCTGACTTGAAGATTTTATCTTGCAGAGCTACCTTTTTGCTCTGTTACATGGCAAATACTTTTGTGCTATTATAATTCATTTGTTTTATGTATACGTGTTGACTTAGAGCAGTATAGCAATGGCTAGACAACTTTGCCAACAAGCCATTTGAAAAAGACGGAAGTGTTGCGGGTTTTGTTCGTTCATCCTCTTTCTCATTACAAAGGGATCTCTGGAAAAATAGTAACGACTTGGATTTGCCCTTGTTTTTAGGGTCACCCAGTCAAAGAACAGTAGTCCAGTAATTTTCTGGTTGCTTTGTTTCTAAACTCTGGAGTTAAAATTGAATACTTTTAGTCTGCTTTGCAATTTAACGTTGAATCCGGTTTATTTTGGCTGACTGTCACAGAGGTGGAAGCATTAAAGATGATAAAAATTATTGCAAGGGAGGGACCTGTAAGCATCCGGTGCTCTAACTTGAGATAAAATTGCCTCGGAGTTCATATCTTACCTAGCAGAGAAACCTCTCAGCACGGAGAGCCTGTGTGTGCTCCAGTCATGGGAAAAGCTTCAGTCAGAGCTCATCAATTGCAAGTCATAAATCCATTGAAAGCCAGGTGTTATTAATTTATAGCTAATGAAGTGACTTGTAACCATGTAATGGTTAATTCTTACAATCTTTTGCAGAAGAACGCAATTGAAGAGCTGAGCAAAGTTGTAACGAGCGTGTTGGTTTGAGCTCTAAATTATGAGAAACATGTAGGACTCAAATCGGTGTAGTGTTGATCAGGATTGAGTCTGCTTGGAGTTGGGAGTGATCAAATGCGCTTAACAGCCTTGAATCTAAATTTTGATATTTCAGGGAGGGGCTTATTGTTGAATTACTTGTCATTTTAAAGCTTAATCCCTTAAATGTCTAGAAAAGAAGTATTAGAAGGGCCATAATGGAATTAGTCTCTTTGTGTTCCCTACTTAGTTATTTTAACATGTAGAGTAATTTTGAATCAAGCAGTAAAGTTGTCTGTCTCTTACTATGTAAGCACACAAGGTGACTTAGTGCAAACCCTATTTGAGAGCCATGTTCAACTAATTAGGACTGAAGAAATGGTGGTTCTGAGGCATGTTATGTGAAATGTGGTAAACTTGTGCCAACTGTGCCGAGTTTGGTGACGCCTTCTCTGCTCATCCAAGTTGCGAAGAGCTCTCGATGTTGTTGTAATTGATAGAAATCCAAATCTTTAACCACAGTTGATCCTAATATTTTGTAGGTATTTGAGTTAACTGGGAACTGCGCAAGTGCCAACTGAGTGTTTTCTTTAAACTACTCGAAGAACAGATTAGGCTAACATTGACAACGAAGTCTTTCTGGAGGTCTTGTTTTATATCCCATCTGCCTTTGGTTCACAGAGGTTTATACTCCCTTCCCTGAGCTGCTGTCTCAGTGTCGCAACTGGCATTTCACAAACAGACATCTTCTTTGGGGACTGATCCGTTTTAAGGAAAGTGAGCAGTTGTCTGGGGTTTCTGAATTTTTCACACCTTTTCTGACCAACTTACTGGCTCTTGCAGATGCCTCAGTCCAGGTTTGTAACCTGCAGTCTCGTGTGATGCACGGGGGCAGCAGCTGTGGTCCCTGCCCTAGGCTAATCTCCCTCTCACTTGCTATGTTTTTGTGAAGAAGGTTGGGATAAAATAACGGGAGGGAAAAAAAGGAAAATGGAAAAGGTGTTTCTTAACGCTTTATATCTAGGCTGCTATTGACTGACTATTACACAGCGTAGACCAGATCCTTTCTTAATATGAAACTACCGGAATTATTGGCTTTCAGTCAGTAATGTTCATGAACTAAGTTGATGATCCTGATTTCTTTTTTTTTTTTTTTTTTTTTTTTTTTTTTTTTCTCTTTTTAATCCCATATGTGATTCCTCCAGCACGTTCTGTGTCCTAAATGTTTTGGCGCTTGCCTAAGGGAAAACTTATAATGATTTTTTGCTTTAAAAATGATTTAATTTTATTTAACTTAATGAACATTGCAGTAATTTTCAGATGTGGCTCATTCGTGTGCAGCTTTTTAAGGCCGCGTGAAAGTAGAGCAAGTGTTACATGTGTTTTGGGATAGATTATGATAGTTTTTTGTTGTAGAAATTCCTCAGACAGAACCTGGGAGAGGGAATCACTAGCATCCAAATGGGATGGCACGGGATATTTGGAGCGAGGAGGAAGTTGGGGAGAACCTGCCACATGTGGCTGCAGGCAGAAGAGAGGAATGACAGCTTCTGATTTGGGGCTGTTCCCCTTCAATCCCAGTCCTGATTCCTTCTCTGCAGAAGCTGCAGAACCTGTTAACATGTCCATGTGTCCTTTGCCAGGAGAGTTTTCAGGAAGTTTATCCCAACTTCTATATAGCTGCTGTCCGTAACCTAACGCCCTAGGTGTGGTGGCAGCTGGGCAGATGTCCCTCCCACAACTGAATTTGGATTCAACTTGAATTTGAGAGCTGGAACTAGGAACGGTCTGAACTGTCATGAAACAAAATATAGTAGGGCCTGCCTGCCTGATTGGTGCGAAGAAGGCTTTGACTTTTATTTATTTACTTTTTATGCACAGAACTTTTCCTCTTTGGTACAGCACCTTAGTGCACTGTGTACCTTTCAAGTAACTATTGAATTAAAATCTAAAAGATTAAATTGCCATATAAGTTCTGTTTTTTTAGTATATTTAAAAAAAATTGTAATAGTGCAAATTATATTCAAGTCCTTGCAAATAATTTATACCATGTGTCTTTTCAGTTCCTAGGGGATTCTTGAGATTTGTTTCTGGGACTGACTTCTCTCTCTCATTTCCTTTCCATACGATCTTTCTCCCATAGGAATACTTGTTCTTCTTAAATTGTTACCTGTGCCCCTCAGTAAATATTTTATACTCTCTTTCAACGTCCTTCTGTTTGATCTCCAGGACATCAGTTGTTGCCTTAAACCAATGCTGTGAAAGGGGTTTGAGTTTTGATTCTGGTTTTTGAACCATTTCTGAAACTTGAAGTTTGACAAATTCTGAGCTTTCAAGTATCGTTTGAAATTCAAACAGTGTTTTAAA